CTACTTGTTCTGCCGCTGTGGGCCACTCCACAGCAGCCCCAAGGGCGGGGACAGGGCCGCGGTCGGTGCGGAAGCTCCGCCCCCGCAGCGGGCGCCCGGTTTTCCGAATCAATCTTCGTATTATCACAACATCCTCTGGGCTGACGACTGCGGTCCCTGCACTACGTGAGCATGCACAGTCAGCAGATCCCAGCCTTCCCAGTCCACGGTTGGGGGAATCCAGGGCGGCAGCCTGCTCAAGCCACGGTCAAGTGCACGGGGGAGACGTCACTCCCACCACCTCATCCGTGCATGTGGGTGGTAAGACGGGGCACTCGGAAATGGTGCCTGAGTGGAAGAATCCAGGCTGGGTCCTGTTGTTTCTCACAAACATCTAGGCCCTGAACCTTTCCCTCTCTAGGACAGTGGCGGAGCATTCCAGATTCTAGCATTCCAGGAGGCTAGGAGGCTGGATGTCACTTTCCTCCCCTAAGCTAGTTGGGAGCCCCAACCTCACACAAGCAACCTCCCCATCTGCACCCTCCGTTTCACCCTTCACTCCCACTAACCTCTGGAGTTCTGGGAAGTCAGGCCCCTCCTCCTCCTCTTCTCCCCTTGACTCCCAGTTCTCTGACTTTTCCCTCTGGCCAGAAGCCAAGGCTGGCTCCCAAGAGGCTGTCGCCATGGTTTGGTTCCCAGCGCCACAGCCATCACTGTGGGAAAACACTGGAACTGGACTGTCCCGTCCCCCCTTCGGAGAGAGACCAGACAGGAAGAGACCACAGATGGGGTGGCTGCCCCAGGGATGTGGCTGAGGCCCACCCAGTGCAGAGAGCCTTCCCTATCGGCACCCAGAGGGGTTTTAGCCCAAATGTCTTATTCTCAGCACAGTAGTAACTTCATTTTCGCCATTTTATTTGTCAATATAAAAATACTCAAATATTTACAACAAATAAATACGTGGGACACAATAAGTTACACTGTTAGGAGTCCTCCTTCTAGGGCTGAGAGAGGATATGCCAACATCCACAGCATGCCCACCCTCTCACTTCCCTCCCCCAACATAGCCTTTCCCAGCCCTGTTTGGAAGAGGACAAGTATAAAATACCACTGAACCCAAGAGCCAAGTGGGAGGCCCCGCCCACCCTTTCCCCCAAACACACAGGAGGCTCCATCTCCCTCCCCCCAAACCCTGAAAACATTCACAGCCCTAAGAGCAGGACTAGGCCCACCCCTGAGCCCTGCACTCCCCCTAAAGGGGTACAGTACCCTGCCCACCCCACCCCCATATGTACATCGCTGCCCCACACTCGGGACAGGTGGGGGTAGGAGAGGCAAAGTAATCCGACCCCTTCCCCTTCATAGCTCCAATGACTCACCAGGAAGACCCCAGGCCAAGGGAAGACTCGACAGAAACAGGAAGGCTATGCCACACACACGTGGGCACACAAACACACACGCACACACACACACACGTTGTGCACATATATACACAAACACACCCACATCTGGAAACTTCTGCCTTGAAAGATTTTGGCTGCTGGGGTCCCAAGTGTCTGTGATTCACAGAGAGGAGGAAGATGCCTCCCAGGAGGCTGGTGCCCTGGTGAGCCACGCCGTGGCAGTGCCCATGCTGAGCAGAGCAGGTCCTCATGGCCGGGCGGGTGCTGGGCAGTGTCTGTCCCAGGCAGAGCAGGTGCCCATGCCATGTCCCTGAGGTAGCTGGTGCCTGTGCAAAAGTAGGAGCTGCACCTCCCACGCTCCCCCCGCCAGTGCGATGGGGGGGTTCCCCTCATACTGACGACTCCTCGGGGTTGGAGTCGGGCAGGGGCTGACGCTGCTGCAGTTTGCGTCTCAGTTCGTCGGCGAGCTCAGGCAGGGGGTGCCCAAGCCCCGAGACGCCCCGGTCCTCTCCTCCTAGTTGTAAGCGCACGTAACCATTGGCATTTGAGTTCCGCCCACCCCCCAGGTGAAGCCGAGTTGGAGAAGGCAGGGGCTGGCCGGGGATGCCAGGAGGTGGAGAAGGGGGCCCACCACCAGGCTGGCACCGGGCGTGTCCAGGCACGATCTTAAGGGAGCCATCTGAGTAGTAGTAGCCAACTGGATCCCAGAGTTTCTCATCCGTTTCAGGGCCAGGCCGGAAGGGGGGACTGGTGGGCTCCTTGGGCAGCTCCAGAGGGTACACCAGGGTCCTCTCGGCTGCCTTGGCTCCCTTCTCCAGCTCTTCCCGCAGCCGCCGGCGCAGTGATAACACAAGCAGCAGCAGCACCAGGCACACGGCTCCCAGGGCCACCACAGCCAGCCATACCAGCCCCAGGTTTTCCAAGGGGGCCCGAGCCTCCAAGGTCACTGACGGGCCTGCCACTACGGCCACAAGGTAGCCTTCGGCAGCCAGCCGTGCCCCCTGCTCCTCTGAAAAGCAGTGGTAGGCGCCAGCATGGCGGGGCTGGGCGGCCATCACAACCAGGGCCTGGAGGCGGGCATCGTAGAGGAAGGAGCCAGGCTGTTCTGCAGGCAGGTCGCGGCCCCCAAAGGTCCAACGGGCATGGGCCAGGTTGGAGGAGAGGCGGCAGGGCAGCACCAGGTCTGTGCCTGCCACCACCGTGATGTTTTTGGGAGTGGGTCTGACTGCAGTGACAGAGAAACGAGAGACAGCAAACAGTCAGTGCAGGAAGCCCAGGGCTGGGGGGAGATGAGACACAGAGACATGAGACACAGATGAGTCAAGGGCTCATCCCAATGGGAGGGGAACAAAAAAGCTCACCTTTCTTACTGCCACGGAGGTTACAGATGCCTGAGGTGTCTGAGATCGTCATGTGCTGGATCAGCAGGGATCTGGTAGGGGACACGGGGAACGTCAGCAGTCCAGTTCCCACCAGCCTGACCTCCCTCAGGGTCCCAGCCCACGCAGAGCCCGACTCACCCAGAATGGCCCCCTGCAGCCACACAGCGGCTGGTGTTGACACTCCAGGCACAGTAGGGGTCCCGGGCGAGGACACAGTCTGCACAGGAGCGGTACTTCATGCAGTCTGCCAGGGGCAGTTGAACTAGCTGAGAGTGGGAACCAGCGAAGAGCAGCTTCTGCAAGAGAATTGGGGCACAAGGGGGAGGGTAAGCCGGACCAGGACGCAGCACAGGGGGTCGCACGGACTCCTGCAGGGAGCACAAGGGCAAAGGAAGCAGAGAGAGGAAACAGGCGGAGCTGCAGTCCTGCTGAGGGAAAGCTAGCTAAGAGCCAAAGAAGCCACTGAGAGCTTATACGAGCCAGACACAATCCTAAGCACCTTACAGACGTGACCTTATTAGAGAGGGACGACAGAGCTATGAGGCTGAGGCATGTCATCACACGCGTTGATACACCGTGCAGGAAAGACACTTCTCTCTAAGCTCACCGGCTGCCCCCACAGCACCCGTATAACATAAGGGGAGTTTCCTCTGTTTGAATCGTGAATGCCAATCTGTGTGTTTATTCAACCACATGCTTTCTGCCCTTATCCCATGTTCCAGGGGACAATTTTGAGTCACAATCACTAGTAAAAGGCAAAGAAGTCAAAGTTCTGGGGGTGCAGAAAATAAGCCATAAAAGAGTACTGCATAAGGGTCAAAAGTGAGCACTGGAGGGCATCAGTCAAGGAAGCAGAGGTTCCTGTCTAGGGAGCAGCTGGGGGCTGGCTGGCAGAAAACGGACATGGGCAGGGCATCATAACCTCCCACAACTTGGGAGGTCTGGCCCAAAGGGACAGAATCAGGGAAGAGGTTGCAGCCAGAGCTGCAGCACAGTCTGGAAGGGTCTGAAGAAGACGTGAGGCAACACCTCATTCTGGGAATGCGGCTCCCAGATCCGGCTACATATGACGGCTCTGTGGAGGTGCAAATGACGTGACATGAGCACCCTGATTTTCAGTAACCCACCTCAAGCTAAGCAAGTTGTGCATGTGTTCATGCATGTGTTCCGACCTCTGTGCTGGCCAAGCACATAAGCCTGATTGGGAAAGGCAGATGGACAGAGAGAATGAGATGGGACAGCAAGGGGGACAGCACGCGTGGGGCCGTATTACCTTGCTCTGAGATAGCACCAGGCTTTCCATGGACTCCTGGTCAAACACCTGCAGCTCCTCAATCAGGTGGACCCACGGCCCCAGGCTCACGGCCTTAAGCAGCCAGCCGTCTCCTGGGGCATGAGGAGAGAAGGTGTGAACGAAGAGGTGAGGGACTCTGGGGCATCAGGTTTCTCTGCCCTGGGCACTCAGGCCTTTGCCCGGCCCCGGCAACCAGGCCCCACACGCCCCTGCACCTACCTGTGCCAATGAACAGCACTGTATAGGTGGTTCCGTCAAGACCTGTCACCTGGTCGGCCACCAGGTGGGTGAAGTTGGAGTCCTTCTTCACAAGCAGGGGTCGGCCCCACCGAGGCCTCACCTGCTCTTCCATCAGTGGGTGCTTCTTGATGAAGTTGAGGGTGTTGTCAGGCAGCTCCAGAGAACTGGCATAGCCGTGGCGTCT